GCTATCACGGGGGGAGTCCAGCCCCCTGTTGCCTTACCCCACCCGCAGTTGCAGCAACATTTGAACAGTAAGACATCGATACTTTGCCGGAAAACTATTATCCCAACTTCTACCATATATGAGTTTATTTCTGCAATACGTCCGGTAGATACCTGCCGCAATTGCCCTGATCCTACCTGATCCCCCGGTTTCCCGCATACCCCACGAGATATAGAGGAAATCAGCCACCACGTACATTATTGCTCTTCGTACCTCACTTGATACTCCGCTAACTTCCAATGTTAAGGCCCGTAAGGTTGAAATACTTCCCCCACTAAGAAAATCTAAAACCCACCCCAACCACGAACGAACTTTGTCCAAGGTATCACAAAAGTAGACAGCATGAAAAGCTGTTTCTTCAAGACCACAACACAAGCAATCCGCCTCCCTTACCAAACCTATCCTATTTAAGGCCGATTTTGATGCTAAAATCCCCATGACAAATCTGTACACCAATTCACGAACCCTTGGTGCCAACTTAATTAAGTTTACAAAACCCTTCCCATATTTCCCCCCAATTATACAGCGGAAAAACAGACAATCCCTGTACAATTTCCCTTCGACAACATATGCTGACCATTTGCCCCACCTGGATCCGTTGTGCATTTCTCAACTTTAACAACAATCGCAGCATGTCCTCACACTCCATTAATCCCCTGCCGCTCCACCATTTACGCATTTCGATCATTACCCAACCCACCCGGATGCCCTTCTCACCGCCCGCCCTAAGGAACCACTGCTTTACATAGAGGGCCTTCACCCGTGGCCCCAAAGCCAAGAGACCTAAACCCCCACGACGAACATGGGTCATGACAACCTCCCGACTTAACCAAGCCCTCCCGAAACTCCAAACATAACGTAAGACCCTTCTCTGCAGTTCCTGAATATCCGTATCTCTTAAAGGGTACACCGCGGCCACACCCAATACTTTACTATAAACAAGTGTATTAACCACTACTGTCCTCTGTTGCAACGAGACATCCCCAGCTCTTAACCCCCGAAGTCGATCTAAAGCCTTGTTAACCACCAATTCAGAGTTTACCCTTCGGCTCTCCCTCTCATCTGCCATGTACACGATCACATATTCTAAGTTTGCACCACGACTGACCACCCATACCTTTCGCCCAACCTCCCCCCCACCCATGTACCCACCTCCAATAATTTCGATTTTGCCTTGTTAACGCATATGCCTGACTCTGCCCCAAAAAACTCAACAATCCATCCCACGATCTGCAAATCCTCCTCCCCTTTTAACAGAATTGTGGTATCATCTATGTACCCGACCACACGCGCTGCATGGTCACTGCTCAGCGTTCCACGCCTCAAACCACCATCCACCAGCTCATAAAATGGGTTTTGCATACAAGCAAAAAGCAGCTGGGAGAGGGGGCACCCTTGCCTCAAACCCCTTTCCATACGGACCGGCTGACCCAATTTACCGTTTACCTGTACGCGTACCATAGCCGTGGCATACAAGGTATCCACCCATCTTGCAATTCCCTCTCCAAAACCCTGCTTCAATAAAATAAGCCTCAACAAATCCCTATCAACAGTCATAAGCATTTTGCCAGTCAAGCCCGAGGACACCCCCCCCCCTTGACATTCCTCCAAAAACTCCCTAATACGTACATGTCCGTCCCTCATGCTCCTGCCTGGTATGCCTAGCTGTCCCTCGTGAATAACCGACCCCATAACCTTCCTCATTCTGTTTCCTAAAACTTTTGCAAAGATTTTATAGTCAGAGCACATAAGAGATATTGCTCTATATGCACTCAGACCCCTCCCCCCCCCCTTTTGGGCACCAACACAACTACCCCCGTACTTTGTGACATACCTAACCTCCCCTCCGTGAGCATGCAATTTAATACATCAACCATACAATGCTTAATACTTCCCCAATGCGCCCTATAAAAATCATTCGAAATGCCATCTATACCTGGTGCCTTTCCTTTATTCATACTATAAATCGCCTCCTCTACCTCCTCCACTCGAATTCTACCTTCTAGTACCGTTCTATCCCTGTCACTTATAACTTTTCTGAAATCCCTCCTCACCAGGCTGCCCTCATGGACCCCCCCTACTCCCCTCTGTAGCTTTTCCCCAAACCATAGATCAGCATAAAAACTCATGCTGTCCGTGGTGAGGAGTACTTGACCCAGCAGGTAACCACCCAAACCTGTGCATACTTCCAATTGCAAGAGGGACGTCGCCTGTTGCCTGACCCTAAATTTGCTCAAGACACAACCCGAAGGTTTGTCACCCCATAGCACTTCTTCCATACCTGCTCTGACTCTAACCGCATTGAAACGTTCATTGTGAATTTCTGCAAGTCGACTACGAAGTTGTTCAATGTCGTCATACCTACTACTCCCGCCCCCCACATAGTAATCATTTAGCTGCCCCTCCAGATAGTTTTGCAGCCCATACCTCCACCTCACCTCCTCTTTTCCCCGCTTCTTATAATAACTCGCTATTCCGGGTTTGGCACGCGTTTCCCACCATTCCAACAAACATTCACCTGCCCGTCGCGTTTCCCAAATATTCTTCCACCAGTCCTGAAAAGCTGACCCATCCCCCTCCCCCTCCAATAGCCACACGTTTTAGTTTCCAATAACCGGATAAACCTTGATCATTCCATCCCAGTTCAAGTCCGCTAGCACTGCACGGTGATCTGAAATCCCCACATCAAAGGTCTGTACGTGCCCAACTCTAATTCCTTGTGTTACATAAAGTCTATCCAGGCGTGCCGCATAGCCCCTGCGAACGAACGTATGCTCCATCCCCCACCCACCCCGCCCCACCACATCGTAAACCCCTGCATCCCCCAGCAGATTCCGTAAGACAGGTAAAACGCACCCCGCCCCCCTTGGCTCAACATCGCTATGGCGGATAACGCAATTCCAATCCCCACCCATGACGGTAATGAACGGCAAACCCCGAGCATAAAACGTTAAATCCTCCTTCACAAAATCTATTTTAACTTTAGTGTTGCTTTCTGCAGGCATGTAAACGCCAATAAAACAAACCCTCACCTCACCCCAGTACCCATCTACCCTCACCACCCTCCCACCTCCTCCCTCCTCCCATCTTAAGACACGCCAAGGGCTGGACTCCTTCACCGCTATAGCTACCCCACCCTTTAATTTTAAAGAACTGCTAACATACATTCTGTAGCCTTTTAACCGTAAGTCTCGCCCAAACTTATAATTGTGTTCTTGTATGAAACATACGTCCACAGCATACCTGCGCAAGAACCACTCCATCCACACACACTTAAACTCTGCCTGCAGGCCATTTACATTGATGGTAACACACTTGAATTCACAAAAGGAGGTTTTCCTCTATGTTTGTGGGTCTTTCCCGTTCCCACACGTACATTACACTGACCTTCTTTGACCTTTGACTTCCCAAGGCCCCCGTCACCCCCCCGTGCCCTACCCATATGCTGGGCGCTTGCCATAACCCCGGCTGCAAGAGGCGCCTCAGCCACTTTCGACCATAATTTCTTCCCTGGCCGCTGTCCCGGTGTCAGGACCTCGTCCATATCCGACACTCCTGCCGTCCGTTTGCGGGAACCACCTTCCACACACATCTCCTCACCAGCCAAAGCCTCCTGGTGGACTTCCACCACCACCTCATGCAACCGTGTCATTGTAGTCACGTCCAGGTCTCCCATATTTGGCGAATCGTCCTTCACCACTTCTTGACACTCCGGTGAAACGTCTGGGCTATGCTCTGCCCCATCCAGGAGATCGTTTAGCACGTTCCCAGCAAACTTTCCTGTGACAACTCCATAGGCTCCGTAGGCCCCACAGGTGGCGTGGTCACGTTTGTAGTGTCCGCCGACAGGGTGGCACACGCCATAGACCGCGTCTCCTCCTCTTGTACTTCCTCACTCCAAAGCGTAGGACGTTGTTCAGGCGATGGACCAGTCTCCAGATCAAAGGCCTCGGTTTTTAGGACCGCAGGAGAAGGTTCCCGGATACGTACAACCAGGCGTCTGGAGCACTGAGCAGCCATATGGTCATACGAGTTGCATAACCTGCATGTCTTACGTTGGCCTGCATAGTGAACAAAAACTTGGGTCCTTTAGTGTTCTAGATAAACGTAAGATGGAATCGGCTGTTTTAATGTCATCTTTAGGGTGCAGGAGCCTTCCGGGAGCCCCTCGTATGGGCCCTCCCTCCATACTCCCTTGGTCGCTGCATGTACCGTGCCGTATTTACCAAAAACTTTCCGAATAACATACTCCTCCGCCTCGAAAGGCACGTTCCTTACTTTGACCCAGGTGACGTATGTGGAGACTTCATGCAGGCATACCTCTACGGCTGAATTCACCGCCATTTTCCTCTCTTGAAAATCTTCCACAATCTTGGAGTAAAAGCCGGCATTTGCGAATTTTACAAAAAACCTCGACATCCCATTGAGAGCCACACCATATAATTCCTCAGTGGGGATGCCATAGACGTCGCGAATAATGGTAGGCAACAAGACATGCATTGTTGCACCACTGAGAGAGCCACGAATAAATTCCACACAGACCGTGTTTACTCTTCTACCCTGACGATCCGCCATCTTGCGTACTGTCAGTGGAACAGAATTCGTCTTCTGTAAGCCATGCGTGTCGTAAGAGGCGACTAAAATGCAGGGAGCAAGGGGCTTGTAATCCCTTCTCCTGTATGCATTACTAAATTTAAAAAGAGACACTTTCATTTTTCTTTTTAGATCACCCTATAATCATATTCTCTATCAACATTTTAGCTGCTGTTGTGTATTAAGAGATTTAATCACCTCTTGCGGTAAACTGTCCTTATATTTCTTTTATTGAATTTGCTTTCATTACATTTGTTTATTGCTCATTTATTATGCTTGATGGTTTAATACAAGCAAAGTATGTTATGTCACTTATTTTGTAGATTAGTATTGATTAAATTATTGACATTGTAGACAATTTTAAGGTTTTGTATAAATATTTATATTTTATTTTCATATGCAGATGTTTAAACCTAGAGAAGATAAAGATGATGTGACAAAAGTCAACACTGAACCTCCAAAGTCCTTAGTGACCGCATGTAAGCAGATAGTCGATTGCTTGGTTAGACACATTCTGGTTCTTGAAGAAGATGGTCAGGGAAGTCAGCCAGCAGATGAACCACGGACTACAACACAGCGTATTCTGGCATGCCACAAAACACTGTACGTATTTGTTTGCAAAAATCCGTCCCCAGCTCTTGGTGGACCACGCAATTACACTCCAGCCTTACTTAGCGTGGAGATGCCGGGTAAGATTCTCATAGCAGTTTGGCTAGGTTTAGTGTTTATTTGTCAGATATTGATATTAAAAGATGTAAATATTTTTTTTAACACTTGGAATGCTTTCCACCAAGACAGTGACCCAAAGAAGGAAAATACATTCATTTTCACTAATTTCTTAGCAGTCTTTCCAGAATTGCATTAACATCTCATTTCTAATGATTTTTCAAAAAGCAATATCCTCATCTGTCCTTTGAAGTACAGACACTGTATATCCTGCCCTTCATAATGGAGTCCTGCTAACTTGCTTCCCAAAGTTTATTCATAAATGTTGCTTTGCTCATTCTCTAGCAGCATAACAAGTTCTAAACATCATTATCTATGATTTAAGATGCTAATACATACCTGTTGGGCACTCAGTTCTTACTTCTTATTCTTCCTTCCTGTTCTCCTTCCAGCCCTTCCTGGGATATTCCATAAAACACCTTAGAGGTGAAAGAATTAATATTTTAAGGGAAAATGTGGTTGTAAATTGCAAAGGCCGTGGGAAGTTTAAAAATGAAATACAGGCAAAACTTGTGGCATATACAGAGAAAGAGAAAGTGTTGCCTACGTGATGGGAGGAAACACAGAGCTAGGGAAGGTCATTGCAGTTGGATTTGCATGATAAAACAAATTTGTTGGGGAACAGGCTTTGCCAGGAAAAAAAATTTAGCTTTTTAGAAAGTCTACTTATTTATGAAGAATAAGAAAAGCTCTTCAAAATATCACAAACAAACGGACAGCAAGCTCCCAAGTCCTTAAAAGCACAACGAATAGCCTAGTGATAGCAAAGGTTATAACTTTTCAGGAGGGAGAAACGGGCTAATTTTGATACTTTTCATATCACTTGTGCTTTCGTGACTTTTTTTTGTTCTTTGCTCACAGTACTTTTCAGCTTGAGAAATAACAAGCTGGTAAATGTACAGATGTTGTACTGCCTGCATAGATTCAATAAAACATCTAACTATTGGAAATACTTAAAACTACTTCGCTAATATTTGCTGATATTATTTATCCTAACCTACAAAACTTCGTATTAAAAAGATAGAGATTTTTTTGGGCAAGTGCAGGATGCTTGAGGCCTCTCCTCTTCAATGACTTCACATTCTTCCTCCAACTCATTTCACAAAGACTAACAGGTTTTAACACGCTTTCACTTATTCCATACATTTACAGTGTCTGTGATGTCTCTTCCCTATCCTTCCTAAAATTAGTTTTTTATTTTTTAATCTAATTCATAAATACAATAAACAATTTTTTACTCCTAAGTATTCCTCACTTTGTGCTTTAATGTCAACGCTGATCAAAACATCTTTTTACCTTCTTACATCCCCTTGATTTTAAAGTTATTAACCTAAATTACTTAATATTAGATTGTATTAATTTTTTTATAACATTCATATAAAAGAAAAAAAATTTAAAGTGAATATAGGAAAGAGTAAGATGATAAGGATAAAAAAAATTAGGTAATGAAAGATTGGGTATCAGATTGGAGGGAGAGAGTATGGAGGTGAATGTATTCAGATATTTACGAGTGGATGTGTCAGCAGATGGGTCTGTGAAAGATAAGGCGAATCATAGAATTTATTAGGGTAAAAGGCGAGTGGTACACTGAGGAGTCTGTGGAGACAAAGAACCTTGTCCAGAGAAGCAAAAAGGGGAATGTATGAAAGTATAGTTATACTAACACTTGTATATGAGTGCAAAGCATGGGTGCTGAATGTTGCAACAAGGAGAAGACTCGAGGCAGTGGAGATGTCATGTCTAAGGGCAATGTGTGGTGGTGTGAATATAAGGCAAAGAATTCATGGTTTGGAAATTAGGAGGAGGTGCGGGATTACCAAAACTATTATCCAGAGGGCTGAGAAGGGGTTGTTGAGGTGGTTCGGACATGTAGAGAAAATGGAACAAAATAGAATGACATCGAGAGTGTATAAATTTGTAGTGGGAAAAAGGCGGGTAGGGTTGGCCTAGGAAAGGTTGAAGGGAGGTGTTAGAGGTTTTGTGTGCGAGGGGCTTTGACTTCCAGTAAGCATATACTTGATGTGCCATTGGAGTGTGAGCAAGGTAACATTTAGAGGGAGTCGTGGAAACTCGCAGGGCCGACTTGAGTCCTTGAGAGGGGAAGTACAGTGTCAGCACTCTGAAGGAGGGTGTTAATGTTACAGTTTTATAACTGCAGTATAAGCACCGCCTCTAGCAAAGCAAGATGGAGTGAATGATAGTTTTTTTTTGGGGCCCACTCTGCCTTGGTGGGAGAGGGCCGATGTGTTAATAAAAAAAAAATTTGGTTTATAAAGATTTTAATCTTAAATTTGTCATTACAAGTTATTTGTTTCTTTCATACAGACCCAAGTAGATTAAACTATGATTGGTGTGGTGGCACGAACATTTAGAATTAGTTGTACCCCTGATGGAGCATCCCAGTGAAACTTTCCTCGCACTCGAGATGCTGTCAAGCTCATTTTAAACAACATGACCGAACAGTCATCACATCGTGTCTAGCACTTTTTGGCTCTATTGCAACACAGTTACCAAAAACTATAGGCTTATAAGGATTGTTTTAATAGTAAGCAAAGTTTTGTTTATTTTGAGGTGAAGGTATGAAGGAACATCCATACATTTTGGTTAAATATAAATGAAAGGTGTATGTCAATTTTAGCTTGAAATCGTATTAATATCCATATACTTTTAATTTGCAGCCATCATGAGTAATAACTGTCACACAGATCATAATACCTGGGGCACCTTTTCTTTTTCAGAATATAGAGATAAATCTTAGTTGAACATAAAATATATTGCTTTATGTTCTTTTGGGTTTAATTGTTATTCCCCAAATAAAAATGATTGAGGTCCTTTTCATTTACTTCTAATAATTAATAATAATAATGTAAAGTGAATGTTTTTAGATATTTGGGAGTTTGATGGGTCAGGTGGTTTATGAAGGATGGGGCTAACCATAGAATTGATGAAAGGAAAAAAAGGGAGTGGTGCGTTGAGGTATACAGGAGACAAAAAAATGTTATCTTTGGAAGCAAAGAAGGAAATTTTAAAAAGTATAGTGGTACCAACACTCCCTTTTATGGGTGTGAAACTTTTGGGGTTTTAAATTTCGCAGGAGGAAGGTGTTGGAGCAGTGGAGATGTCATGTCTAAGGGGGAATGTGTAGGGGTAAATATTATGCAGAAAATCCGAGTGTGGAAATAGGAGAAGGTGTGGAGTTAATAAAAGTATTATTCAGAGGGCTGATGAGAGGGTTGAGTGGTTTGGTCCCTTTAGAGAGAATTTATCAAAGTAGAAAAGACATGGAGAGCGTATAAATCTATAGGGGAAGGGAAACGGGGGAGGGGTCGCCTCGAAAAAGGGTTTGGGGGAGGGGGTAAAGGAAAGGGTTTTTTGGGCGAGGGGGAAAGGACTTCCACAAGCGTGCATGAGCGTGTTAGGAGTGAATGGAGACGAATGGTTTTGGGGCCTGACAAGCTGTTGGAGTGTGAGCAGGTAAATGTTTATGAAGGGGTTCAGGGAAAACCCGGGTTTTTTTTGTATAGCCAGACTTGAATACTGGGAAAAGGGAAGTACAATGCCTGCACTTTAAAGGTGGTGTTTTGGGGTATTGGCATTTTGGAGGGGTATTTTGTTGTCTTTATATATGCTTCTGAACTGTTTATCTGGGGGCCTCAACAAAAACAGTAATTACGTAAGAGTGAGGTGAAAATGTTGGAATGAGAGTATTTTAGTCCTTGGAGATTTTCTTTGGGTCACCCTGCCTTGGTGGGAGACGGCGACTTGAAAAAAAAGATAATACTAAGTAGTTGGTTGGTAGACAGCAGCCACCCAGGAGGTACTACCGTTTAGCCAAGCGAGTGTATAACGGAAGCCTGTAATTGGTTTTACATGATGGTAGGATTTCTGGTGTCTTTTCTGTCTCAAACAGCAAGATTTCACGTACATCTTGCTACCTCTACTTACACTTAGATCACACTACACATTTCATATACAAGCATATATATAACAGCACCTCTCGGGGTTTTTTTCTATTGTCCCTTTCAGTTCTTGTTCTTAGTTTATTTCCTCGTATCTCCCTGGGGAAGTGGAACAGAATTTTTCCTCTGTAACTATGCGTTTTCTTAAGAGGTGACAACTACCAGGAGCAAGGGGCAGTAACCTCTTCTCCTGTATACATTACTAAAGTTTAAAAAAAAACTTTCATTTTTCTTTTGAGCCACTCTGCTTTGGTGGGGGTACAGCTGGGTTTAAATTTAAAGAAGAATAGTAATGGTAATAATGTTATGTAATATGTGGGGAACCATGGTATAATTCAAAGGGGTAGTAAT